GCCGCCGCCCGAGAAGATCGGCGCGCTCATCGCGACGTCCTCGAACGACGCCGTCATCTCGTGCGACGTGACGACCCTCTCCAGCGCGCACAGCGCGTCGTTCGTCTCTTCGTTCGCGTCGTCGCGCAGCGAGAGCGCTCTCGCGTGCTCGATGAGGTCGTCGACCTCGCGCGCGTCGATCGCGTGCCCGCCGCCCGGCGACCACTCGATTCGGAACGCGCCAACCTCGATCGCCGCCGCCGCCGCCGCCGCCGTCGTCGCGTCCGCGCGCGGAACGATCACCAGCGCGTCGCTCATCGACACGCTCCACGGGACGACCCTGTCGCCCACCTTCACGGCCATCATCGCGCGCGCGAGCCTCTCTCTCGGCGCGTCCCCGGGCAGCGCGCGCACGGACCAGAGCTTCCGTAAATAGCCGTACCCGCGCGGGTAGCCGCTCATCTGACGATCGAACGCGACGAGCGCGGAGACGGCGCTCGGGTGCGCAACGACCGCGAAAGGCGCCATCGCGATGTCCAGCGCTTGCGCGCGCGCGACGCCGTGCGCGTCGACGACGGGCGCGCGCTGGGAGACGCGGACGAACGGCGCCGTGGACGACGACGATTTCACGTCTTTGCGTCTCCACATCGCGCGCTCGTCCGCGACCTCGCCGCCGCCGAGGAGGTATCCGGCGACGTCGTCGACCTCAACGTGCAGCGCGTGCGCGTCTCTGCGAGCGTCCGCGACGACGCCGAGCTCTGCTTTCGTTTTCGTGAGCTCTAGACGGAGGACGTCCGCGACGACGTCGCCGGCTTCGGCGCAGAGCGTCACCGCGACGCGCGCGACGCGTAACGTGAACGCCGCCGTTCGCGTCTTCGCGGCGCCGCGGGACTGTCTCCTTCCGCGCGCGTCTCCTCCGCCGCCGCTCATGCGCGCGGCGACGCCGCCGACGCCGCTCAGGACGCGGCCGGGCGCGCGGAAAAGCGCGGACGCGGCCCACGATATCGTCCCTCGGGTAGAAGAGCCGTTCTCGGCGTCGTCGTCGTCGTCATCGCTGACGTCTTCCAAGCCGCTCGAGTCTTCATCGAGGTCGTCGTCGAGGTCGTACCACTCGTCGTCGTCCCCGTCCGGCAGGCACCGCTCCGCTTCTAAGCGCGCGTCGAGGAGCTCCTCGAGCGTGAGCTCGTCCTCGAGGACGCTCATCTCGGACCCGATGTCGACGTCGCCGTCTTCGCACTCGTAAAACGTCTCCCCGTCGTTTTCGTCGTCATTCTCGGACTCCGCTCGGAGTCGCTCTCTCAGTTTCTTGGAGTAGAGCTCCAGGTACCTCAGCGCCGCGGGCTTCTTCATCGCGACGTCGCTCTCGCCACCCCCTCTAACCGCCGCTTTCGCGTCGTCGTTATCCCTGATCGTCGCCTCGATCGCGTACTTCCACCACGCGCTCCAGTCCCTCTCGAGCCCGCGCGAGGCATCCGTCGGGCGGCGCGCGCCGTGTTTACTCCTCAGCGCCCAGACATCCATCGCGTCCGAGAGCCGCACTAACGCGCGCACTTGCGACGGACGCACCCGCGCGCGTATCTCGTCGTGCAACTGCACGTGCACGTCGAAGCCGCCGCCGTTCGACGACGACGACGACGACGACGACGCGGCGATCGTATCCCCACGCGCCGGCCGCGTCCTCGGCGCCGCGACGACGTGAATCGACGCCGTGAGATTCGACGCGGCGAGCATGACGTCCTCGGGCGCGTGGTCGTCCCTCGCCGCGGGGGTGTGCTCCACGCGCGCTTGCAGCGTCTCCGCGGGGTGCCACTCGAAACGATCCATCGGGCTTCGCGTCGCGACGTCCGCGGCGATCGCGGGTTTGCCGTACACTTCGAACCCGATCACCTCGAGGTGTTTCCGCGCCTCCGTGACCGGCGCGACGACGCTCAGGAGCCCTCTGACCGTGGATATCCTCCGTCGTTCTCTTCGTCGTCCGCCGCCGCGCCCGACACCCCCGCCCCCGCGCGGCGGCAGCGGCGACAGGAAGAGATCCTTCGCGTCCGCCTCGAGTTCTTTCGCCGCCGCCGCGGACTCGCCGTCTCGGAACCGCCCCGTCGTCGAGACGCCGACGACGTCTCCCCCGTCTCCTCCCGCGTCGTCCGAGTCGTCCGACGCCGACGCGCGCGACGCCGACGCCGACGCGCGCGCGACGTCCATGCCCAGGATTCTCCGCAGGTAATCCTGCGTGCTCTCCGTGCGCACGTGGAGGGCTTCCACGCGCATCCCGAACGACGCGACGCCAGCTGTTGTCGTCGTCGTGGCATCGTCGTCGCGCAGCGCCGACGGCAGGTCCACGAACCGCACGCGCACGTCCTCGATCTTGAGCTGCAGCCTCTCGAGTATCGGCGCCCACATCGCGTGCAAGACGCCGCCGCTGATGCCTCCGCCGCCGCGCTTCGCGGTCGTCGCCGCCTCCGCCGCCGCGCGCGTCGTCGCGTCCCTCAGCGCGCGCGCGCGCTCCTCCGGGGCGGAATTTCGAATCCACTCGTCTTCCGCCCTCGGCGACGCGAGCAGCGACACGCCCTCGATCGCGACGACGACCGGGTGCACCCTGAGCAGCGCGGTCTTCCACGAGACGCGAAGCTCGAGCAAGGACGCGGTGCCGCTCCGCACCGCGAACGGAAGCCCGAGCGCGTCGAACGCGTCCGGCTTTAGCCTGACATTTTCCAATCGAACGACGCCGCTCCACAGGCCGACCCTGACGCGCTCGCGCGGGAGGTCCTCGACGTACGTCCCGAGCGCGCGCTCGAGGAGCGGCGCGAGGATGGCCTCGAACATCGCGCGCGCGCCGTCCCGCCGAGAGGGAGCGGCGGCGCGCGTGCGGTTCGAGTCTGTCGTTGTCCGTCGAAGCGACGACGTGATGTAGATGCCACGCCTAATAACGACTTTTTCTGTTCTTAAAAAAAAAAAAAAAACATTTTACAGCGCGCGCGCGAGCGTCTCCCTCCTCCTCCTCCTCCTCCTCCTCATGTCGTCGTCATCGCGCCCGACCCCATCGTCCCTGGCCTCCGTTGTCGTCCGCCGCCAGCGTCACGACGATGAAGTCGCGCCACGCCGGCCCGCACTCCGGATCCGCCTGCCTGAGGTCGTCCGCGTCGTGCCACATCCGCCCGTCGTCGAGGAACAGCAGACAGCCCGGCTCCACCGGGTTCTGGAACATCGGCCGCGCCTTCGCGCTCGGCCGCTCGCCGTTCGGCCCGCCGGCGTACACGTACGTCTGCCAGTCGCTCGCGACGTTGCGCCGCGACGGCGACAGCAGCCCGATGTACTCGAAACCGTCCTGGTGCATGCCCTCGGGGACGACTTGCCCGCGTAACCCCGGGTCGTTCGCGTCGGCTTTGATGCGAATCGCGTGCACGCCCACGGTCAGCGAGGTCCTCGAGGCGTACCGCGGATCGAGTCGCGCGTACGACGCGAACCGCGCGATCATCTCGGCGAACTCCGGGCGATCGCGCATCGCCTTCGGGACGCGGACGAACCGCCGGTCGGACGTCCGCGTCTTTTGGCCATCCTCGCGGCCTTCGAAGCGGTACCCGGCCGGCGGGTTAAACTTCGGGTCGGGGACCTCGACGAGGACGCCGCAGCCGCCGGCGGCGCGGTGGCTCTCGGACGGCGGATACGGCTCCGCCGCGCCGCCGCCGTCGCCGCCGACCGCCTCTCTGAGCCGCGTCACGAGCGCGGCTTTCAGGCCGTCGGTCGGAAGCGATCGCTTGCCGAGCTCCTCCTTCAACGCCTTCACCGTGAGCTTGCTCACGTCGTCGCTCGCCGCGAGCTGCTCCGGCGGCGCGGATTCAGGCGATTCATCGACGGCGTCGGCCGCGTAGAACGTCGCGTCCGCGGCGGCGACCGCGACTTTCATCATCGCCGCGTCCGCGGCGGCGCGACCGCCGGGAAAAAAATACGTAAACTTTGAATACGCCCTAAACCTCCCCGCGCCGATGCCGCCGAGGTAGGGGTCCAACGGCAGCGCCTCGAACGCGGGTTCGAGCCGCCACGACGGCGCGGAATCGAACTCGTGGACGAGATACAGCAGCCCCGTCTCGCCGCCGCGCGAGTCCTTCGAGGACGTCGAGGAGGAAGCGTCCGTCGTCGTCGCCGTCGTCGTCGTCGCCGTCGTCGTCGTCGTCGCCGCCGCCGCCGTCGGCGCTTCCTCGACGAGGTCCGTCACCTCGACAACGTCCGGGAGCGCGGAGAGCAGACCGCGGATCTTGTCGTCGCGCGCGGACGCGACGGGTACGACGTTGCTTCTGTTGAACGCGGCGGGTGGGATCGTCGAATCCATCGGATCCGCGAACGCTTCTTCTCCGGCTCGGAGCGACGCGGCGTCGCCGAGGGACTCGACCTCGAACGGCGGGACGTACAGCGCGTCCTCGAGCGCGAGGGTGACGTGCCCGAGGGTGGGATCGGTCTCGCACGGCGCGGTCGCGATCGTGCCGATGTTGAACCCCGCGGACGTGACCGTCGTGGCTATTTTCTGCGAGTAGAGCGAAAGCAGGGCGCGGTCGGGTCGGCGGGAAGGAGACCGTTAGCGGTGTCGAACTGCAGTGAGGAGGCGCGCTTCTTCTCGACTGGACGAGTGCCACGTGGCGTTGTTCGTTTCTCGCTCGCCTCTCGCGCGCGCGACGTCATTTCGAAGGAAAAAAAAACTGAGAAGATGGTCGTTGGACGCGTCGGCGTGGTCGAGGTCGGCGATGGTCGGCGACGCACCTGCAGGACGCCCGGCGCGTCGCGGCAGAGGATGTCGAGCCTGACGACGCTCGACGAGCTCTTGGAGCGCGCGGGTTGCGCGCGCGGCGCGGAGGACGAAGCGAAGAGCGTCCGCGGCGAAAAGATCCCAGGCCTCGGACGTCGTCGAGGGACCGCGGAGCGAGCGTCGTTCGCGGACGTCGTCGCGCGCGGCCCGCGGCGGGCGACCGCGCGCGCCGGCGCGGGCGCGCGGACCGACGGGATCGCGAGCATCGAGGCGGGCGGTCGAGGTCTCCGCGGTCGCACAGGGGCGCGCGGGAGACGGCGGCTGCGCGGAGGAAAGTGTCTCGCAGCTTTCCGTGTTCAGAAACCGCGTGAACGAAAAAGATCTTGAGATTTCGCGCGAAAAAGCCCCCGCGGCCTTCGACCCGTTGTCGGCGTCGCACTTCCGCGGCGCGACCGCGGCTCGCCGTCTCGCGATGGTCGTCGTCGTCGCGAACGACGCGCGCGCGTCGAATCCCGCCGCGCGAAAATCAGCGGGCGCGTACTGCTCCCTCCGCGCGCCCGTCGACCGCGACGAACGTCCGGAAGAAACATTATTCGCGGGATCTGCTGACGACGACGACGACGACGCGCTCTGCTCGCGGTCGTCCCCCGTCGTCCGCGACCCGCCGCTCTCGCTCGACCAGGTCCGCGCGATGTTCCCCGCCGTCTCCGTCCCGCGCTTCTCGCTCGGGTACGCCTTCTTCGAGAACGCGGGCGGGTCGCAGGTCCCCGCGCTCGTCGCGGACGCCGTCCGCGCGCGCATGGTCCGCGCGCACGCGCAGCTCGGCGCGGGCTACCCTCACGCCGACCGCGCCGACGCGTGCGCGGACGCCGCGCACGCCGTCGTCCGCGCCGTCATGGGCGTCCGCGCCGGCGACGGCGACGTCGCGCTCGGCCCGTCGACGTCCCAGCTCCTCGCGAACCTCGCGCGCGGGTTCGAAGGGAGCGCGAGCCTCGCGCCGGGAGACGAGATCGTGATTCAGCGCGCGTCGCACGAGGCCAACGTGAGTCCGTGGACGCGGCTCGCCGACCGCGTCGGGTGCGACGTCGTGTGGTGGAACGACGCGGACGCCACCTGGGACGGGTGGGAGGACGAGACGACGACGACGACGACGACGACGATGACGACGGGAAACGCCTCAAAAACGCATGCGCTCGATGCGTTACGAGCGGCGGTCACCCCGCGAACGAAAATCGTCGCCGCGTGCGCCGTCTCCAACATCCTCGGCGGCGTCGTCGACGTCCCCGCGCTCGTCCGCGTCGTCCGCGAGCGCGCGCACCCGTCCTGCCGCGTCGTCCTCGACGCCGTCGCGTACGCGCCGCACAGGCTCGTATCCGTCGCGGAGTGGGGCGTGGACTGGTGCGCGTTCTCGCCGTACAAGACGTTCGGGCCGCACTGCGGCGCGCTGTACGGGCGAGAGGACGCGTTCGCGGAGGTTGCGGAGAGCGGACCGAACCACTACTTCGTCGATCCCGCCGCGCGCGCGTACAAGTTCGAGCTCGGCAGCGTGGCGCACGAGGCGTGCGCGGGGCTCGTGGGGATGGGCGCGTACCTGCGCGCGCTGAGCGGGAGGCGCGCGGGCGTGGGGACGCGGACGGAAGGAGAAGAAGAAGAAGAAGAGGAGGAGGAGGAGGCCGTCGATCTCGACCTCGCGCCGCCGACGCGAGAGGACGTCGTCGTCGCGTTCGAACGCGTCGTCGAGCTCGAGCGCGAGCCGCAGCGCGCGCTCGTCGCGATCCTGACCGCGCTCGAAGACGAGGGTTTGATCGCGATTCACGGGCCGAGGACCGCGGACCAGGCCGCGAGGGTTCCGACGGCGGCGTTTTCGCCGACGAAAAAATCGGCGGCGGACGTCGTCGCCGCGGTTCGAGCGCCGCCGTATAAGATCGCGATGCGCAGCGGACACATGTACGCGGTGCGTTTACTGGAGGATCTCGGTTTGGACCCAAACGTCGGCGTCGTGCGCGTGAGCTTGGCGCATTACAACACGACGGAGGAGGTGGCGCGGTTCGGAGAGGCGCTGGGCGCGGCGCTGCGAGGAGAATAATGTGTTTTTACTCGCCGTAAGACGACGACGCTCTACGCCACGCCCAAGTCCGCGGCGACCATCTTCTCCGCGATCGGATGATACATCCCGCGCGTCTTCTGAAATGTCTCCTCCGCGAACGCTTTCCCTCCCTCCTTGCACAGCTTCAGCGACCGGTACAGCGGCCGCAGGTACTTCATCCGCCCCATGCTCCGCAACATCTCCGCCGTCGGCGCGAACGCGTCGACGTCCCCGGCGCCCAGCCGCAACTGCAGCCACTTACACTTGATCTCGCTGTTCTTGTACGCGCTCAGGCCGTACAGCTCCTCGAGCGACGCGATCACCGGCAGCGACAGCGGGTGCGTCCCGCCTCGGTACTCCAGCAGCGACAGAAGGAAGTGGTCGATCTGCGTCGACGACCACCCTTCCACGTCCGCGGCGGAGACGTCCGCCGGTCGGCTCGGCGATCCCATCCCCAAGACGTCGCACAGGTGCCAACGCCTCGCGAGGTCGCCGCTCGCGGCGGAGGACGACCCGTCGTAGTACGCGCCGACGTCCACGGGGGGCATCCCGGGCGCGCGGAGCCACGCGTCCCAATCGACCTGCGCGGACGCGACCGGGAACGCCGCCGCGTACGACGCCCGGAATTTCTCGCTCGTCGTCGTCGCGAACTTGTTCTTCTCGAAGTGCGACCGCAGAAACGTCGCGAACGCGTCCGTGCCGTTCGCGGCGTCGAGCGCGTCCTTCTCCCCGTGACCGTCCAGCCGCGTCATGTGCTCCAGGTACACCAAGAACGCGAATCCCTTCTCGTACGGGACCTTGCTGAACACGTCGTCCGGGTCGACGCCGCCCTCCAACGTCGGCTGCAGCACCGTGTGCGGGTGCTCGGGGCCCAACCGCGCCACCGTCTCCTTCAGCTCCATCAGTCCCCCGATCGCGTTGAAGTCGAAGATCGCCTTGCCGTACAGCTTGTGCATGATCTTCCGCTCCACGAACACCGTGAACCCCTCGTTCAGCCAGAAGTGCTCCCACGTGCTGTTCGTGACGAGGTTGCCGCTCCAGCTGTGCGCGATCTCGTGCGCGACGACGTGCGCCTGGCTTCGATCGCCCGCGAGTAACGTCGGCGTGACGAACGTTAAACACGGGTTCTCCATCCCTCCGTACGGGAACGACGGCGGGAGGAGCAGGAGGTCGTACCGCCCCCACACGTACGGCCCCGCGACCTCCTCCGCCGCGGCGAGGAAGTCCTCCGTCTCGTTGAACTCAAACGCGCCCGCCTCCACCATCGAAGGCTCGCTCCACACCCTGCTCCGCGGCCCGATCTCGCGCGACTCCAGATCCCCGACCGCGAGCGCGAGGAGGTACGGCGGGATCGGCACCTTCTGCTCGAACGCGTACGTCGTCTTCGCGCCGCCGGGCGCGGGCGTCGAGCCCGTGGGTATGGCGGACATCAACGCCGTCAGCGCGGACGGCGCCGACACCTTCGCCTCGTAGGTCATCTTCGCCGCGGGGGAATCTTGGCACGGGTACAGCGACCGCGCGTGGATCGCCTGGCACTGCGTGAACAAGTACGGATGCGAACCCCCCGCGGTCTGCTCCGGTCGCAGCCACTGCACCGCGGAGGACGACGGCGACGTCTTGTACGACACCTCCACGGACGCCGTCGCGCCCGCGGCGAGAGGGGTCGGGAACGCGATCGTCAGCGCCGAGCCCATGACCGGGTGCGCGTCGGCTTGCAGCGCGAACGTCGCGTCCGCGCCGTCGACGACGCACTTCTCGATCGCGAGGTCGCGCGTGTCGAGCACGAGCTCGTCCACGTCGTTCGAGGCGAGGACGGAGAGGACGACGCGCCCGGCGATCGTTCTCGAGTCGAAGTCGACGTCGACGTCGAACGCGGTGTGCGTCACCTTCGCGGTCGGGTAGTTGGACTGCGAGGAGTGGTCCGTGAACGCGGTATCGGCGTTCGTCACGGCGGCGGCCATGGCGACGGCTCGCGGCGACGCGCGGCGATGCGCGCGGAGGAACGGAGCTCGGAGGACCGCGGCGGAGCGCTGCAACCCTGCCGCGTGCATCGAGATCTGAAGAGTCTTCCGCTTCCGTTCAGTTCGTCGATAAAAAATTGGAGGTGCCTACTGCCCGCCCCTCGCACCCGCTACCTAGTAGTCTATCTACCTATGATGATGCCTACGATGATATCCCCGCGAACGCCGCGTACGCCGGGCTCAGCCGCGCGCAGTGCCTATACAGCCGCATCGCCTCCATGTGATCCTCCCGCGCCTCCGCGGCCTGCGCGTCCACGTGCAGTCTGTACGCCTCCCGCCCCGCGTCGTCGTCGAAAACCTTCACCCGGCGCTCGTACATGACGTCCGTGCGTATGAGTATCTTCTCGCACCCTTCCCCGACCGGGACGCCCTCGTGCGGGATGTCCTGCCGGAATATCAGCGCCGTGCCGGGCGAGCACGGCGCCTCGTCCGCGCGCCAAGCCTCCGGCCACCGATACTTCCCGCCGCCGCCGCCGCCGCCGTCGTCGTCGGTGGGCGGCAGAAACTTTCCCATCGTCGTCCCCGGCGGCGGCGCGAACAGCGCCGTGCCGCCGCCGTCGTCGCACGCGTTCAGGTACACCAACACGCTGTACAGACTCCGAGTGTTCAAGTCCACGATCGTCGCGCCGTCCGTGTGCGGCGAGAAGTGCCCGTTCGGTTTGTACTTGTTGAAGAGCAGGTGCGGGTTGACGCCGATCGCGACCCACTCGCCCTCGACGCCCGACTCGTGCAGCGGATGCGACGCGTCGACGACGACGGTCGGGACGACGTGCGCGCGCAGGCGGCGCCACAGCGCGTTCGCGCACTTCGCGGACGTCACCTCGACGGTGTCCGAGTCGCGGAACGCGCGCGAGGACGCGGACGCGTTCCAGAACGAGTACGACGCGTCGTCCGCGCATCGTACGAGCGCGGCGCACTCGTCGCGATCGAGGACGTCCGAGAGCACGAACGCGTCGAGCGGGGGACGCAGGCGGCGCCGCGAGACGGCGGACGCCGCGCGGTCGTTCGCGTCGTCGTCTGACGGGAGGACGCCGTCCAGGGCCTTCGAGTGCGCGTCGCTCGCCTGCGTCTTCTCCACCGGGCGGATCGCCCCGGGGTCCACGTCCACGAGCTCCTCCGCGACGTCGCGCATCGCGTCTCTGATGGCGTTCGCGTTCGCTTCCGGAGATTTCGTCTGTTTCGGCCATCACGACGATCTCGTCGCCGCCGCGCCCGTCATAGCTCGGCGCGCTGAGCGGCGTGACCGCCGTCCGACCGCGTTCGTCGTCGGGACGTCATGCTCCTCGCGACGCCGCCGCTCCGCGCGGCGTCGCTCCGCGCGTCGTCGAGCGAGGGCGTCGCCGGACGCGCGCGCGCGTCGACCGCGTCGTCGATCGCCAGCTGTCCGCGTCCGAAGATACGGCACCGCGTCGACGCCGTCGTCGTCGTCGTCGCCCCCGCGCGGTCGCGTCCTCGCGCGGGGAGAAGCGCCGCCGCCGCCGCCGCCGCGGGGTGGTCCGGACGCCGCGGGCATCGTAGCGGCGCGGCCGCGCGCCGCCTCACCCCGCCCGCGGCGCTCCCCGAGTGCCTCTTCAGCGTCGGCACGGTCACCGTGCTGCCGCTCTACGCGTTGATGATCGGATTCCCGAGAGCCGAGCTCAGCGCGCGCGTCATGTCGTCCGCGCTCCCGTTCGCGGTCATGGGCTGTCTGTACGCGTCCGCGGCGTTCCTATCCCTCCAGAGCGCGGGCGCGTGGGCGCTCGTGAACACGTTCGTCGGCGACCTCGTCGGCGCCGCGTCCGCGGCGTCGTCGTCGGCGACGGCGTTGTCGTCCGTCGCGGACGGCGGGCTGACGTTGCTGTCGGGGTTTCTCGCGACGACGGAGACCGCCGCGAGCGCGTGGTTGCACCTGCTGACGCTGGATCTGTTCGTCGCGCGGAGCGTGTACTTGGACGCGCTGAGGACGAACGTGCCCGCGGCGCACTCGCTGGTGTTGTGTTGCATGTTCGGGCCGTGCGGGTATCTCGCGCACGCGGCGACGAAGGTATTTTGCGATGGACGACGACGACGACGAAGACGCGAGGGAGGGGGGAGGGAAGGGACCGGGTCGGGGGGCGAGACGTCGAGGGGGTGACGTCGCGTCGTGTGCGTAGTCGTTTGTATTACATGTAATAGCCGTGGAGTATCTTGTAGAGCGTAACTCGTTGATCGTTTAAACGAGTGCGCCTTGTGCGTTCACGGCGATGGTTGCTACGAGTATGAGTTCTCGGACTTTTTCCTTTGCTTCATCATCGCCCTGCTTCGCGGCTTTCGTGTACCATTTGATGGCCTTGGGGATGTCTTTCGTCACGCCCTCTCCGTATTCGTAGCACATCCCGAGGTTGTATTTAGCATCACTATCGCCTTGAGCGGCCGCTTTCTTGAACCACTCGAACGCTTCCTCATGTTGGCTCTTCAAGGCGTGGACTTCGCCAACACCGCTTAGTGCGGAGGTGTGACCCTTCGAGACTGCCTTCATGAACCACTCAAGCGCCTTGTCGACGTTTTTCTCCACGCCGTGGCCATCAAAATAATTGACACCTATATTGTATTCGCAAATCGTGTTCCCCTGCTGTGCTCCCTTCATATACCACTCCATCGCCTTCTCGTCCCGCTTCCGCTTGTCGTAGAAGTAGCCGAGTTCGAGTTGTTGTGAACTTTTGGACAAGTCAGCGCCCGCCTGTCGAAGAAGGTCGTGAAAGTGCGCCTCGGGCAGATCGAGGACGCCTTCGAAGCCGACGACGTAGTCACACCTCAACGGCCAAGTCTCGATCTCGTTCAAGACGTCAGGAGGAGGACAACCCGTGAAGTCGAGAGAGGCGGGCAGAAAAGACGCGTGTTTCGACGCCTTCCTCCACACGGAGTTCACCTGCGCGAGAGCGACGCGCGTCCGGACGTCCTTCACGTGCGCGAAGACCACGCTCGCGAGCTGTTCGTTCGCGTCGAATGTCGGGTGGATGGCTTTGACGCGATCGTTGAGCTCCGCGAGCGTCCTCCGCGTCTCCAAGTGCTCCGCCCGCGTCTCCTCCCTGCTCCGTTCGAGTTCTCCTTTGAGCTCGTCGAACCGAGCTAAAAGGAGGCCGAGGACGCCGCCGCCCGTCGTGCTGTCGTCGATGTCGACGCTCGGCGCGTCGCGCGCGGGCGGATCGACTCTACGCCGCTTAGATCCATCGTCCATCGCACTCTCGCGCAGTCGCGACCGTGCGGCAGCGCGGGTGAACGTGGCGCGGGCGGGTCGTTCGCCGAGCAGCCGAGAAAACTCAACCAGCCACTGTGGCCAGCTTGCACGAGCGCGGTCGAAACGGCGCTTCGACCGTCTCCAGAGTGGGCGCGCGCGAGTCCGCGGGGACACGGTCGGGTCGCGTCCCCCCATCACCCCGAGCCCACCGCGAGCGCCGCGTCGCCGCCGTCATGGACCTCCTCCTGTCCGGCGCGCCGATGCGCGCGTTCCTCAAGAGCGTCCTGTGTCTGTCGAGGATCGGTGCGTCCGCGCGCGCCTTCGATCTCGTCCGCCCTCGTCCGACGCGCCGCGCTTCGACGCGACGACGCTGACGCCCATCCTCCCCGTCGTCCTCTCCACTCCCCTCAACAGGTTCCGAGGTGCTGTTCGAGGCGACGCAAGAGGACGGGGTGCGTCCACGTCGACCGTCGCCGGCGAGATCCGACGCGACCGACGTTTGGGTGCCCACATTTTGAATCCACGCGTCGTCGCCCGCCCGACGACTCACCGTCCCCTCCCTCCCTTCCGCGCCTCTCCCTCGCAGCTTTCGATCAAATCGATCAACACCGCGCGGTCGGCGTTCTGCTCGATCGTCCTGAAACCCGCGGCGTTCGAGAAGTACGCGCTGACGAGCGGCGAGGCGACGGTCCAGACGTGCGTGCTCTCGAAACATCTCCTGGCCTCGATGCGCACGACGCGGATGGAATCCCTCAGCCTCGCGCTGGACGCGGACCAGACGACGCTGAGCGTCACGATCGTGTGCAACCGCGGCGGGGTGAGGAAAACGTACAGAATACACGTGATCGAGGACGCGGAGCACTTGAAAGCGACGATCGACGCGGAGTCGATGCCGGTGAAACTAGTGCTTCGGCCGCGGGGTTTCTCGCGGCTGCTGTCGCACTTCCAGCCCGGGCAGAACGACATCACGATCGCGTGCCTGCCCGAGACGGACGGCGCGGAACGCGTCGAGCGGTCGTTCGGGGTCAACGCGAATGAGCCGCCGCCGCCGCGGAAGAACTTGAAACTCACGTCGTACGTGGACCCGAACGCGCCGCCGAGCGGCGCGCTGCAGACGTCGATCGGCATGGACACGTCGGAGGACGCGGTGCTTCGGTACGAGGCGAAGAAAGACGAGACGCTCGAGGTCACGGTGAACTTGAAGGATCTGAAGGCGATGGTGGCGTTCTGCGAGCACGTGGACGTGGACGTCGCGATTTTCGCGGACTCGCCCGGGGCGCCGGTGTTGGTTCGGCCGTGCGCGGAGTTCCGAGAGATCGGCGGCGGCGGCGGCGGCGGCGGCGGCGGCGGGGGATACGGCCAGCAGCAGCACGGGGGATATCCACAGCGCGGGCAGTTCGACGGGCTGAGCGGCGTCCCCCTCGACGCGGAGCTCGTCCTCGCGTCGATGATCCCGCTGCAGCAGGAGCTAGACAAGAACGAGGGCGGCGCGCACGGCGGCGGGGACGGAGGGGCAGGGGCGGGGGGAGGCTTCGGCGGCGAATCGAACGAGGACGAAGACGCGTTGTTGCTCGCCGCGGTGACGCAGGCGGAGCAGCGGATGTCCGCGGCCGCGTCGCGCGGGGGTGAGATCACGGAACGGCCCGCGCGCGGGAAGCGACGCGCGGCGAAGGATGCGGACGCGAGCGTCGGCGCGGCGGCGAGCACGGGGATACCGGATTCGGTCGACGACGACGGCGGCGGCGGCGGGCGCGCGCGCGAGGCCGCGTCGGTCGGGAACGCCGGGTTGGCGTGGGCGCCCGGGGAGAGCACGCGCGCGGATGACACGGACGACGACGACGACGGCGATCAGTTCGTCGAGCCGACGCCGCCGGATAAACGTCGACGGAAGTGATGAGCACATGATAGTAGCACGCGACGGATGAATTGAATCGTATACAACAGTCGGGTTCGCGACGGAAGGTCGGTCCTCTTCATCACGCGTTGAGCGCGGCCATCTCCTTTTGAATCACGTCCAGCGACTTCCCTTTCGTCTCCAACACCGTCGTCTTCACGAACAACACGGACACGGCGCACATCCCCGCGAACCCGACGAACACCGCGGGCGCGCCGACGGCCTCGACCACGGGCAAGAACATCTGCCCGATGAAAAAGTTAAACACCCAGTGCGTCATGAGACACGCGCTCATCGCGCTCCCTCGCACGCGGCTGCTGAAAATCTCCGACGACATCAGCCCCGGGATCGGCCCGACGCCCAAGCCGAACGACATGATGTACGCCAGGGTTGCGATCACCGCGGCTGGGCCCGCGAGCGCCCACGCGCTCTGCCACGCCATCGCGTACGCGATGCAGAGACACGAGAGTCCCATGCCTACGAACGACACGTACAACAGAGGTTTGCGACCCGTGCGGTCCAAGACTTGCCCGGAGACGAACGTCCCGAAGACGTTCGTCGCGACGACCGCGACGGACGCCGCGACCGCGGACTCCACCCCCGCGGCGACGAACATCGCGCTGCTGAAGTAGATGACCGCGTTGATCCCCGTCATCTGCTGCAGGAAAAACAACGCCGTCCCGATCGTCATCTGCCTCCGATTCTCCGCCGCGAAAAGGTCCGAGATCGGCGCGTCCGCCTCCTTCGCGCCGTCGTCGCCCTTGTCCTCGCCCGCGCTCGCGCCGAGCACCGCGCCCCACAGCGCGAGCTCCGCGGCCTGCGCCTCGCGCGTCTTCCCGCGCCGCCGGAGCCACGACGGCGACTCCGGCACGACGGTCATCAAAGCGCCCTGCAACCCCGCGGGAATCACGCCCAACAGAAACATCGTCCGCCACCACGCCGGGTCGCCGCTCAGCGGCAGCCCGGCGACGACCGCGCACAGGATCCCGATCGTGATCAAGAGCTGGTTCAGCGAACCGAGCGAGCCGCGGTACTTCTCCGGGGAGATCTCCGCGATGTACATCGGCACGACGTTGGACGCCGCGCCGAGGCCGACGCCGCAGAGCGCGCGGCCAATCAGCATCGCGGCGACGTTCGTCGCGTACGAGCACAGCAGCGACCCGACGAAGAGCGGGCCCGCGGACGCGACGAGCGCGCGCTTGCGCCCGATCGCGTCCGCGATCTTTCCGCCGAACGTCGACCCGATCGTCGCGCCGGCGAGGACGGCGGAGACGACGAAGCCCTTCAGCCGCGCGTCGGCGGCGATGCCGAGATCGCGCGCGAGGTGCTCCAATGCCGGGTTGACGACGCCGAGGTGGAACCCGAACGAGAACGCGCCTAGTGCGGCGACGAGGACCGCGGGGAGGACGTTCGCGACGAGCGCGGAGCCCTCCAGAGGCGTCGCGGGTCCCGGCGGCGGCGCCGCCTTCTCGAGGTCGACGACGGACGTTGTTGAATCGTCGGCGTCGGCGTCGGCGTCGTTCTCCGCGCCCCCGGTCGTCGCGCTCGCGCGGACGACGCGCTTCGTCACCCCGGGCGCGCGCATCGCGACGACGCGCGCGGCGGCGACGGGGGCGAAGGACGCCGCGGAGGACGTCGCGACGACGACGGCGCGCGGTCGGGCGCGCGCGGGATCCGCGCTCCGAAGCGTCGGCACTCGGGAGGCGCGCGCGCGAAAAACGCGGACGGACGACGACGACGACGACGGCGACGACGGCGACGACGACGGCGACGGTCTCGTCCGAGCTGTGATGCCGCTGATGAGCGTCGCTCCGGCGCTCATGGACGACGCGCGCGCGGTCGTCACGGAACGACGGCGGCGGCGGCGGGCGTGCGGCGGGCGTGTGGCGAGCGGCGCTGCGCTGCCAGCAAACTCGAACGGACCTTTCGCGCGCAGGCGAGCGAGCGGCGTACGATGCTTTTCGCCTCGCCTAGAATCGCTTTTACGAACCGGATTTCATCGAGGAGGTTTCACCGGGATTTTGTCCGATGAAATTTTTTTGGTTTCGTTTATCGTTTCAACTTTTTTTTTTCATCGGCTGGAGAGCTCTTCGCGGCGCCGCCGACCGCGACCGCGACCGCTCGCGGCGCGGATATGTCCGTCACGATCGTCGAGCTGCCTCCATCACAGATAGGCGCCCACCGCGGACGACGACGCGCGGGTTCGGCGTCCTCGCGCGTCGCGGACGTTTCGGGGGACGTCCGCGAGGGGACGCGAGGCGAGGGAGAACCCCGGCGCGGCCGCGATCGCGCGCGGCGCGAGGCGAACGTCAGATCCCTCGAGGGTCGGAAAAAAACTCTGACGCTTCCGAAGGACAACAGCGGAGCCGCGAGGCGCGGGGGCGAGGAACGCGGCGACGCGCGGGCGATCGCGGCGCGATGAGCGGCCTCGAGAGCCTCATGACGGACTTCTCGCTCACCGGGAGCGTGAAGAAAGGGCCGAGCATGAACGCGGCGAAGTCGATGACGAGCGCGATGGCGGGCACTCCGAGCAGCGGCAGCGCGATGCCCGCGGAGGCGATCGACGCGAACGATCCCTTCTGGTTCGCTTCGTCGTCCTCCTCCTCCGCGGCGGCGAAGCCGAAGCCGCCGCCTTCGGGGGGTGCCGGCGGCGGCGCGGACGTGGACGACATCTTCGGTCTCGGCATCGGCGGCGGCATCGGCGGCGGCGCGACGTGCGTCCCCTCCCCGCGCACGATCTCGCGCGCGACCCCGCGTCCTCCGCGGTCGCTCTCTTTTTGGTTATCCACTTTTTTTTGTTCCTCCCGACCGACGCTCTTCTCTTCCTCCTCGCGTCGTCTCTCTCCCCTCGACAGTCCGATGTCCGCGGCGAGACCGATCCCGCACCAGCGGGCCGCGTCCGGCGGCGGAGGGATGGACTTCTTCTCGTCCTCCCCCGCGCGCTCGCGCTCCCCCGCGATGGGGTTCTCTCCCGCGGCGCCGGGTCTCGCGAACTCGATGAAGAAAAAGAGCGGCATGGCCGGCGACGCGTTCGATTTCGCCAACGTGGACGACCTTCTCGGCGGCGGGCGACCGATGAGCGGCGCGCCGATGCGGACGCAGAGCATCGACGACCTGTTGGGGGGCGCCGGCACCGCGTCGGGGGCGAGCAGCGGGCCGGGGAGCGCCGTCGTCGGCGGCGGCGGCGCGGCGGGCGACGACGATCTCCTCGGCGCGCTGTTCGGCGAGACGACGACGACGACGAGCAGGACGGCGAGCGGTTCGAAACTTGATGGATTGGGCGCGCCCGCGTCCACGAGCGGGGGGGGCACGGCCGCGAGCAGCGCGAACGATTTACTCGACGGCGCGGATGATTTTTTCAGCGGCGGCGGCGGCGTCGCGAGCGGCATCGCGAGCGCGAAGGACAGCCCCGCCTCGGCTGGTTCAGGGCACGACGAGCTCGACTTATCGGGCGTCATGGACGACGGAGAGTCACCGACGCTCGTCGAGGACACCACCGGGCGGGGATACGACCGCGGGAGGAGCGCGGTCGAGGACGCGTCAGAGATTGAGCCGGCGGTTCCGGAGCCGACGCCGTCGACGACGACGGCGGCGGCGTCGGCGGACGACGGTCTCGCGGGGTTCGAGGATTTCTTCTCCCCGGGAGGAGCCGCCGCGACCTCGAGCGGAGCCGCCGCGTCAGGCGGCGGCGGCGGCGGGTTGGACTCGCTCGAGGACCTTCTCAGGGCTTCGACCACGGGCGGCGGCGGGAAAGGTAAGGGCGGCGGCATGTCCCTCGGTTCGGACAAAATGGACGACCTCTTCGGTCCGCCCGTTCATCCCAGCGGCGGCGGCGTTCCCGCGGCGGCGGTCATCGACGACATGTTCGGCGCGATGATGGGCGGGGGTCGGGCCAACGCGGCGCCCGCGGCGGCGTCGGCCGATGAATTTTCATACGCCCCCGACAGCGACGACGAGGACCGAGAGGGCGACACCCGGGAGCGGAAGGAGGCGCGGCGGCGAAGACACGAACGCGTCAAGGCGGCGATCGACGCGAAGCTCCAGGAGAAGCGCGACCGCGAATCCCGAGCGCTCGCGGACCAGGCGGAGCGGCAGATGCTGAAGGACATGATCGGCGCGGACATCGACGAGTGGCTCCGCGTGAATCAAAACAACGTCCGGACGATGCTCGCCAACTTGGGCGACGTGCTCTGGCAGAACCACGGGTACAAGAGCCCGTCGATGAACGACCTTCTGAACCCGCCGAGCGTGAAGAAATGCTACCACAGGGCGCTGATCTTGATCCACCCGGACAAGGTGCGACAGCGCGGCGGGGACACGTCGATGATTTACATCGCGGACAAGGTTTTCGACCAAGTCCGGGACGCGTACAAGGCGTTCGAAGCGAAGGAGATGTAGACGTGATGAGGAGTCGTATGCAGTGGTAGGCGCGAGTCGATCTGATGTGTTCTACTTCCCCTCCTCCCTCTTCTTCTAATACGACGACGCCGCTACGATGCTATCACTCCCACCCTCTCGTTAATCATCATAAGGTTAATAGTCCAACGGCGCGTCCGAGTCGACGTAGTGCTCGCCCAGCCGCAGCGGCTTCCCGCCTCGACCCTTCCCCGCCTTCGACGGCCCCGGGCGGTCGTCGTCGTGCAGACGAAACGGCACGACGCGCACGTCGAAACTCACCCGCGTGACGTCCGTGTCGTTCCTCGTCGTGAAGTGCCAGCACGCGCACCCGTAAAACTTCACGAACTGTCCGGGGGAGGCGACGAGCGGGTGAAAGTCGCGCGCGCCCGGTTCGCTCTCGCACACGAGCGAGTTCGTCGACGGATGATTTTTTCCGCCGTCCCCGCCGTCCCCCCCGCCGCCGCCGCCGCCCCACGCGCCGACGCGCGTCAGCGGCACCCACACGTTCACCTCGTTCGGTTGCCGGTTGTGCGGATGCAGCCCGTCCGCGTGCGGCATCCCCTGCGCGGGCGCGCCCGCGAGGTGGACGCGGAACGTCGGTTTGCGTTGATACGCGACGCGCTTAACGCCCAGCGCGGGGCAAACTTCCTCTCGGATAAACTCGCGCAGCGCGACCGCGAACGCTCTCGACGATCGCACCTCGGAGACGAGCGCCGCGACGAACGGGTTCCCGGTCGGCGTCTGCGAGGACAGCGCGTGCTCGGTCGCGGCGAGGTGTAAGCGCTCGAGCATCGGGCGGCGGCGTTCGGCGTTCGCGTCGTCGTCGTCGTCGTCGTCGTGGAGCCGCGCGAGTCGCAGCGAGTTCCTCGCCTCGGCCGCGCGGATCGCGTCCTCCGCGAGCCGCACGAACCCGTACGAGCGCTCGTCGTAGTTCACGACGCGCTCCGCGCGCTGCTCGCGCGTCAGCGCGCTGCTCTCCGTGAGCTCGAGACGCTCGCGCTCGAGGAGTTCGAATTCCGGGGTCGCCGGCGGGCGACGGTCGCGTCGACGACCGTCGCGGTGATGGTGACCAGGGTTGGTAGTGTCCTTCTGGATGAGAAAGCGAAACGCGAACGCGACGAGGATCGTGCGCGTTATCGACTGCTCGAGGCCGAACCGGCAGAAGAGGATGATGCCCGCGAGCGCGGCGACGCGGATCCATTTCTTGTTCAGCGGGTGGTTCCGAAAGTAGTCGCGCGCGACGCGCCACGGCGGCGGCCGCGGCGGCGCGCGCACCATTCTGACGACGACGAGAAAGTGTCGAGTCGGCACCGACTGAAAAAAACAACAACTCACTCTTAAGCTCTGAACGGTCGCCCGCGCGGATCTGGTCACTCCGACGACGCGCGCCCGACGACGCACGCGCGACAGACATGCCGGCCGTCGTCGCGTCGTCCCCCGCCGCGAGGACGCGCGCCCACGCCGACGTCCGGCGGCTCGTCCTCTTCCTCGTCGCGCTGTGCTACCTGTCCTCGTTCGCGTCGCTGCATCGTCAGTACCGCGGACTTTTTGGAACGAACGGCGTCTCGCCCGTCGTCGCGTTCCTCGACCGCGTCTCCTTCGGCGCGAAGGGCGCGGACCCTAGACCGACGCCCTCGTGGTCGACGCTGCGCGAGCGCGTCTGGACGCTCCCGACGCTCGCGTGGACGCACGAGCTCTCCGGAGGATACGCGCGCGTGGACGACGTGATGGAGATCCTTCTGCTCGTCGGCGCGGTCCTCTCTGCGGCGGCGGCGACGACGGCGGCGCGCGGATCCGGATCGGGCGGCGCCGCCGCCGACGCCTGGGTCTGGGCCGCGATGTTCGCGGCGTACCTCTCCGTCTTCAACGTCGGGCAGACGTTCTTGTCGTTCCAGTGGGACGTGCTCCTGCT